AGGAGAAATCGGAAAGCACAGTTCAAATTCCACTTTAGTTTGTTACATTCACTTTCACACAAATACCCTTGAGAAAGGTATGAATCTATTACTTCTCCCCCAAACTATGGGTTAAATAGTAGGACAGACTGGGCTATTCATCTTTGACTAGCAACCAGAATAGGAGAAAGAAAACTCTAAATTATCAAAGTAAATGGAACTTGTTAGTGTGGGAACATGTGATCATCTAAAATCAGACTTTCAATGTTACACCTTTTTTGTTGTTGTTACCATATTCAATGCCAGTGAACATTAATTAACATTTTCTCTCTTTCACCAGCTTTTGAATGGAAGTAGGGGTTTATCCCTTGTTTCCTGTTTAGGATTGTGTTTCCAGTTCTTTCTAAAGTCTTTTCCTTCTCTTTCATTTCCAGTAGCTCCTTGTGTCTTAGTGGTATTATCACCTTGTTTGGGCTTAAATTTTTTTTAATTACATAACAATCCCCTATTTGAAATTGGCAACTTGTCTACATTTTGTCCTCTACACATTGTTGTGATTAATACCTATTTTCCAGTAATGCTATTTAATCTCTAGGAAATTCCTTTTATTCTATTTTTGTCAGAAATCTTATCAGAGAAAGCATTTCAAAAGAAGATATTAAATGGTATATTTTATGGATGGAACAGAATAAGTGACTTCCTTCATTTTGATTTTATAAGCTTATTACAACTTATATTACTCAAAGCAGATTTCTTCAAGATATAATATTCAAAGACATGAGTTTGTCAGGCAAAGTTAAAATGATTTTGATTTTTGTATACATTCTTTCCAGACTATGAAGCTGATTTTGCAAGAGAAAATGAAGTAAAACTTTAAAAAAAATAAAAAAATGCCAAATACCATCTATACACAGACAATCACAACACTCTAGAGATTCATATTATCTGTGAATTGCCATGCATTTTTTTTTTAAACTAATGGAATGCTTTCTCATTCATTCTCTATACTTTGGAATTCAGAGTTTTCCTTTTCCTATACTAGTTGCCACCCAAGACTGTAAAGTCCATACTCTACTATTTAATCTATAATTGGTGAGAGTTTTAATGTGAAAGTGAATGCAACATGCCAGCTTGGTCCACTGATTCTACTCTCCATGTTAACAATCATTACATGACCTTTATGCTTTGCTTAAAATATGGCACTCTGTCCCATAATAGTTGTTAAATTTACAAATGTATTTCATTCAATAATGTAACAACTCTTAATGGACAGAGGTAGTGTCATTTACAGAAAGTTCAGTAAATACACAAAAATAGAAAGGAATGTAAAATAAGGATGTGACTTCTCTATTCAACCTTATTCAATTGGAGGCACCAAGATCAAGCAAGAACAAAAAATTAAATAACCTAGTAAGTGTTTTAACAGAGTGTAGAAAATGTAACACCAAAATGTAAATGGATAGCAAAAATACCTTCCAAAAGCTAAGCAAAATATTAAGAAACAGGAAAATTTAATTGGAAACAAAGAAAAGAATACTGAATTTTTACATAATATCAGTCCTGTATGGCAGTGAATACTGGACAATCTCCTCACAGATAAAGAAGAGATTTGAGGCAACAGAAATATGGTTCTACAGAAGGATGATGAGAATACCTGGGACTGAGCAATGAAGAAATTTTAGAGAAAATGTAAACCAAAAGGACAATTATACTTAGAATCAGAAAGAGAAAGTTAAAATTTCTAGAATGCATAATGAGGAAAGAGGGATTGAAGTATTTAACACTCAAAGGACATATTTAACAAGCAAATACCTAAGAAACTTATGTAAACAGTTAACAGACAGGGAGTGGAAGGGATAACAAAACAGCAAACCTTACTAAAAGCTTATGGTATATAGAGATGAAGGTTACATAAGTGAAGGCCAAATTTACTGTCTATAGTACTATTCTTATTGTTGACTCCATTTGGTTACAGTCAGTATCATCTTAGTCCTTTTTGTGATTTAAGAATTCATACAGGGTCGTTGTATTTTTGGCTGACAAATTAATTTGTTGAATTCATCCTTTCTTCTTCTTTTCTTCTCGAGTTACATGTCCAGTCAAACTCAGCATCCGATGAATCTCCAGCCCTTGCATCTCAAACTGCTATATCAAACCAATTTCCCCACTTCTTCTCTTGCTTCTGCTGCACACATGGTTTTTTTCTTCTTTTTATTGAGCCTGACATGTCTGTGTTTACCGTTTGATTTTTGGCAGGACGTGTTTTCATTGGTTGATTTTTTTTTTTTATGACGTCCACTGACCCACATAAGCTATGTCTGGATTCTGTCAGTTACTGAGGATAGGAACAATAGAAAGAAGGAAAAGAAGTATGTGTAATAGAGGAGAGAGAAAGAGAGAGTTTTCTTTGTCACTCTCTTAATAAAAAGGAAAGTGTATATTTCCATATGGTATTACTACTACCTAATCCAAGCTACAAAGGACAGGAAATTGTGGAGAGCCATGTTGGTCAATGTACTAAAGGGTCACGGTACAAAGAAGAATTATAAGAATTATATGATTGAAAAATGATTTCGTATGGCAGGAAAAGTTATGTATAAAATCTATTACAAAATACAAGATTTTTACAGTATTGAATCAGACAACAGAAAGCCACAGATACAAAAAAATAACAGAAACTTGAAATATTTATTTTTCCTGCTTATCTACTAATTATATTGGTTCAGTTTTTGTCAAAGTTTAAACTATAAAATCTCACTAATTATTTGGCTTAGTTATTACCTCCCTTTCCTCTAATGTATTTATTAGTTATTACCTCCCTACCCTCTAACGTATTTACAGCTACTCAAAAAATTGCTGATTCCCTTTCAATAACCTTTTCTTTTTTCTTGGTGCAGAAATGAATGGTTTCTCTTGTCTAAGACTTGCATAAAATCACCTCTAATTTCACCTCTGCTGCTCTATGTTTTAATATAATTTTTGTATTCTCAAGAATTATAGTCTTTTCAGGGTTTTCAATTAGTTTTGTCTGGTTTAGTACAGTTCTGTGTTGAAGAGAAGATGCCTAAAAAAATATAGGTGTGGAAACAATAATTTGAAACTTTCTCTCACATGTGAAAACACATTGTTTCAATTGAGATTACTTCCAGATTTTCAAATAAATGGAAACAAGATTCAAGGATTTTTTTTTGTTGTTGGAAGCATTCCTCCCACCTTTTCTCTCTTACTGATATTTTTCTTTTCTTCCTCATTTTCTCTGCCTCTTACAAAGTATTGTTTAGATACGATTGCAATAGATTGAGGAAGTGAAGTGTGTCAGTGTCTCAATTACACAAGGCAGGAAACATTTACTGATGGAATGAAATAAGCCAAAATTTGGTCACCAAGTCAAAGAGAGAAAGAGAATGAAAGAAAATGTACATATTTTTCTATTAATTCCTTTCATGTCATTTCTACTTTGAACTCTTACTCAAGAATATACATTTGCCCTGTCCACTGGTCTAGAATCATTTGATTACCATAAAAAAATGTTGTTATGCTTCCAATAATGCTAAAAGACTTGTTTTCAGCTTGACATTTCTTCTGCTATTATATGGCCATTTGTGATAATATACTTTATATAATTCTCTTTTCATTCTTCTCCTGACTTTTTGTAGCTGTGTAAAATAAATTTATTCTTTCTAAGTTGCAGAATCTCCCACAGCGACAACAGGTTCAGTATTGTTACTGATATATGAAAGTGAATAATATATGTTAAAATTTTATACATATGCTATTTTATATATTTTATACATATCCACACATATATGCAGACATGGGCCTTTTTTGACCAAACTTTTATGGCCATGGTGCATCTGTCATACATATAAATATGTATGAATAATTTACTAATGATCCCACATCACACACAACATTAACTTTCTTCCATGTAGCTTATTCTTGTCAATACATTTTTCATCATCAAATTGGCAGTGTCTTTTAGCCTTGCAGGCCAAGACAAACTCATTGTGAAACTATATATAATATATATATATATATATAAACAGTCTGTCTGTAGATGATAGTATATATATATATATATATGTGTGTGTGTGTGTGATCTTTACTGTTTCTACAATTGATTTTACTGACATTTAATTTAATTTAATAATCAATAAATCTTCAATATCTGTCTATATTCCTGAGAAGATGTATTGTAATTATTTACACTCTTTACATTGTTCGGACTGTTGTCCTCATCTTTGTTGCCATATTCACGACGTGTCGGCTGTTGTATGCTCCAGCATTCTTCAGGTGATTGGAATTTTGAACTAAACCCTTTATTTCATCCACCAAGGTAGATTGTTCTAGTTCCACGTGCCATACCTCTTCTGGATGTCTCAGTTATCTCCTTACCGATCCTTTAATATCTGTCTATATTTCTTACATGAGGTATTGTAATTATTTAGACTATTTACATTTTTCAGACTGATGTCCTCATCTCTCTTGTCATATTTACAACATTTCAGCCATTGTATGTTCTGGCTTTCTTCAGGTGATTGAAATTTTGAACTGAACCCTTTATTTTGTCCCCCAGGGTAGGTTGTTCTTTGGCATATAAATATTGAATGTGAATGACTGGAATATATTATCTTCTATGTGCTGCATCTTTTCAGGATGTGAGGCCTATGGCCACATCATATTGAAACATTGGTTCCCATACAATAACTGAAGCTATGCAACATTAAGCCTAATCAGTACCTGGATGGTTGACCACTTGAAAATACCAGATACTGTAAGCTTGGATATACTGGCAGTGTAATGGATAATGGCTCAAAGTTGGAAATCAGAGAGCCAAGTTCCAATTCCAGTCAAATTCATTATATTCATTTATGTGCAAATAGCTTTGCAAAAAGTATGAATCCATCTCTTCTCCCTTAGCTATGGGTTAATTAGTAAGATTTGTATCAGTAAAATTATCAGTACCTGCAAAAAATTCTTAAAATCTAAAAATATTTTATAGCGTTAAATAGCTTGCAAGCTTATGGCCATATCATATTGAAACACCTGTTCCCATACAAATACTAAAGTTAAACAACATTGAGCCTGTTCAGTACCAAGATAGGTGACCTCTTGGGAATATCAGATGTTGTAAGCTTGGATAACAGCTCAGAATTGGAAATCAGGAATCAGTTCCAATTCCAGTTGGGTTCATTATATTCACCTATCTGCAAATATCCTTGGGAAAGGTATGAAACCACTTCTTTTCCCCTCAGCTATGAGTTAATTAATAAGACTTGTAACATTATTATCACTCCCCAAAAACATTCTTACAATCCAAAAATATTCTCTGGTTTTAAATAACCATAAGCCATAAAGCCATAAAATATAAATGAATTAATCACTAAAAAAATAACTTATTAAAGGTTGACGCATACCAGTCGATTACTGCTACCCTATTCTACTTGGCTTTAGTAACCAAAACCACTTATCTACTTCGTTCCAATATATCCATTTCTGGGACATATCAGATATATATTTTCTTCTTTTTTTATGTTGACTTACAAATTTCATATAACTCCTAGAGTTAGTCACAGGACATATTGAAGGCAAGAAGGATAGAGGGAAACAATAGACAACCTATCAAACAATATTGTGTAAATGGATGGCAGAACAAAGATGAAGACAAAGCCCAACATTTCGAAGAGCTACAAAGGATAGAAAATTGTGAAGAGCCACAACCACCTATATCCTGAAGAGAAACAGTGCATAAAAGAAGACTAGAGTTAGTAGATATCTCTTGTAATTATGACCTACAGAAATATCTGTGAATCTGAAACTCTTTCTTATTTTATGCTGAGATTTTCTCTATCGGGACAGAAGTTATTCATTATCACCTATTTTAGGAAAGTGATAAAAGGACAGTCTTGTTCAGATCTAGTGAATTATAAACTTTATCTTTTAGTAAAGACTAACAAAGAAAGATTTAACCATCCCAAATGATATGAAGTTTCGTATTTTCCATGTAGGTGTTGATATACTTGAAAATCTCTATCTTTTGTATAGAATATTTACAGACTTTGTTCTTTGTTTAACTTGTAATGTTTTTAGCATTTGCCTACAGGTAAATATCAAGAGGGTTATTAATGGTACCATAGTCATCTTGATGTACTTTTGCCACTAAAGAAAATAGTTATATCCACTTTGCCATTTATCAAATGTCTCATAAATAAAGATGAGTTTTATCCAATGGAAATGAAAAGGAAAAACCATTTGCTCTTAATAGAAATACATGCCTAGTACCTCCTGTAGTTGTCAGATGCCATTTGAAGATGCTGCAAACAGTAGGAAAATATCATAACCAACTCCTTATATTTTATCTGCTACTTGACTTTGTGTTCCATGAGCAAGGTGAGATGACTTTGCCTGTAATAACATATCTTATATAATCCTTCTTCAAGTAAAACTTTGTATGCATGCTCATTTTATGACAAGTAACCCAATAATTGTTGGTTGGTTTAACAGCATATCAACTTCTTATGCGTCATTTAATGTGAAAATTTAATTTTCTTAAGATCTTTGGCAATTATCTTTTCTTTTTTTTCTATTAAAATTGTATTGCTGGTATTTTTATACTTTTATAGTGTTTTGATCCCATTTTGGGTTTCAATATTTGCTCATAACTGGGATTATAACACATGCTACCACACCAGGTCAGGATAGACCTAGGAACAACAGCAATTGGTTCTACGCTCCTCTTCAAAGGCCTTGTTGCCAGATATAGTTTATCGTCATACCCAGGACGGCCAGTAGTTGTTGAATGTGTAATAAATAATAAGTTCAAATTCCAGTTGGGTTTGTTATATTCAGTTACACACAAATACCCTTGGAAAAGGTATAGATCTATCTGTTTTCCCACCAGCTGGTTGAACAAGAAGCTATGTTATATTTGCATTTAAAGCACATTCATGTGTTCAGAAAGAAGCTTGCTTGATTGCGAAGCTCTTTGTAGCCAAGCAGTTAAATCATGCTCGATCAGATAGTGGTTTCTCCTGCAAAGGAGGCTGCAGGTTCAAATTATGCTGGAGATCACAGTTTGTTTAATAATTTTTCCCAGGTGTGCAGGCTGATAGACAAAATAAATCCTGTTTAAAATAAAAATGGAGTCAGATACAGATATCCACTAAAAATAGTGTTTGAAGTAATATATATATATATATATACTCAACTCTCTCGTCGAATTCAATGTATGAGGGCCAAGCAGATCAGTTCCTAGGAAACCAACAGCCTGACAACAGCACATGAGATTTGATTATAGTGGTGAAGGTTTTGTGCAGAACCATCCACACATATGAAGGGTCGAATACAGAGACCTGGTGCACTACGTGTTACAAGGTCCCCAAACAACGAACCTCCGAAGGTTTTGAATTCAGAGTTGTCCTTCTCCTAGACCAGTTGCCATCTAAGGCTGTAGAACCCAGTCTGTCCTGTTATTTACCCATAGCTGGAGGGAGAAGAAGAGGATTCATACCTTTCCCAAGGGTATTAGCACGTAAGTGAATGTAATGGATTCAACTGAAATTCGAACTCGGCTCTCTGATTCCTCAATCCAAGCCACTATCCATTACTCCACCGTGCCTCCTATCTCACACACACACACACACACACACATCTCCCTCTCTCCCTCTCTCTCTCTCTATATATATATATATGTAGATTAAATTTTATCTGTTCTACTTAGTTTCTGTACTTAAAAGAATCTGAAACATCTCCAATATCTGTTTGTCTCAATATGCTTCAATCCAAGTGCTACAAGGCTTGCTATAATACCAAAAACTTTCTTGATTTGTTTTACATCAGTATAAGTCATTTGATACTTTGGTATTTCAAAGAAATGTTTTGCCAGACTGACAATTCCTCAAATTCCATTCCATGACATTTATTCTTCTGCATTACAAGATTCTTGAGTCAAATCATCCAGAAAATGCCAGTTTATGGGATGGTCACTTTTTTTTCAACAATATCTTGTACTTTTCTCTGATACTATTTTTCAATTTAGATGTTTTACTTAGAGAAATATGAAATTGCCTTTTCTAAGAATTTTGCTTAAGAAAATGTTTGTAAAATGCCTCTATTTAAAACAAAAAATAATTTATTGTAATTGTTTACTCCTACTTAGAAGGAAAAAGGATGAAATAAAAAAAATATTAAAAGTGATCATTTTATTTATTTTTTTTGTTCTCGTATATTTTGCCAGCAAAAATAAGAGATAAATAAAGAATTTAACATAAAAGCAGAAACAACAAATAATGATCTGAGTTTTGTTGTATTTAAATATAGAAAATAAAATAGCATAAGCATGAAACTTCTTTAATGCTAAGAAACTGTGCAAACAATATAAATTTGTTTTTCTCTCATTTTAGAGAGCAAAAAATGCTCTTGTTTTCTTCAATAAATGACAAATAGCTCTAATCATTTTTTGTTTTTGATTTTCTTTGTTTCTTTGAAGAACTCAAATTTCTTTAATAACATTTTCAATGTAATTTGATTTCAGGCAAATATGATAATGACTTTGTAATTCATTGGCAATGCACAAAAGACATTTCATAATGTATGACAGAATGTAATAGCCATCAGAATAAATTGCCAGCCTTTCAAAAAATTCATTCAGTTTTCTACTTATTCTGTTTGTTTGTTAATTTTCTTTATTGTTTCTTTAAAAAAAAAAAAAACAGATTATTCAAATATTCACTTTCTTGTTCTTTATGTAATCAAATATTTTACGTGAATGATTTTATTCTATTTATAATTTTTATGATGATTTATTGCAACATTTGTGCTTTGAATGTATTGCTTATGATGAGATGAAAAATTTAAGGGCTCATTATGTTTGAAGCTAACAAGCATTCCTCCAAACAAGGAAAACAAAATTTCTATTTTCACAATGCTGGATAAGTATCCACATATTTAAAAGACAACAACACACACACACACACACACACACACACACACACATATATATATATATATATATATATATATATATATAGTTTTAAGGTATGCTACACTTATCGGTTAAAGTGCACAATATCAGAAATAGAGTATATATAAATATAAAAGTAGACATTGAAGGGGTGTTGGCCTCAATCTCCACATATATGTGTGTGTATGTGTGTGTGTTTACTCGTGACGTGTTTCATCCTTCAGGACTTCGTTGGTAAATTTTTTCCACTTTGTTATACAATTTACCCATTATATATATATATATATATATATATATATATATATACATGCACACACATGTATAATGATAAAAATATAGTTTTAATATATGCTATATTTATGAGTAAAACTGCTCAATATTAGAGATAGAGCATATGTGTAAATATAAATGGGGATATTAAGGTCAACCCCAAACAGCGACAGGCTGTTTCATGCTTCAATGCAATCTTCAGGCCTATATATATATATATATATATATATATATATATATATATATATATTTATTTATTTTAGGCTATTGCACTGAAAACATGTAAAAATTGCTTCACAATCGCAGTCAAGTTTCAATACATATCAATGTATCTCATCAGGCAATTATAAGTTACTGGCAAGTGAACGATTTAGATTTCATAGCAAAATACAACCTTTTTTAAAAGGAAAAAAAAGGAAAAAATTGAGGAGGTTATAAGGTTAGAGGGCTTTACTCTGATCAACCAATCAAATATGACCTACATTAAATTTAAACTAAGCAAAGAAGCAAACATTAAAAATTATTTTTTATAAATGGGTCATGACCCATACATTAGCAGCAAATTGCAGCCAGACATAAACTTAAGTGGCTGAATATATCTATATCTATATATATATATTATATATATGATATGTCCCGGAAAGGGATATATTTAAACGAAGTAGCTAAGTGGTTTTGGCTACTATAACCAAGTAGAATACGGTAGCAGTAATCGACTAGTACACATCGTAGTCGCAGGTAAGAAGTGTAGATCAATGGCGTAGTCCAATTGGCGTCGTTATAGACTTAGCTCTCAGACTAAGGCTCTTGACTCACCTACACGTCCGTCAGTATTTATGACGGACACCAGCCAATCATATTCCAGTGAGGGGGAACACAGGTGTATACATATTCCATTATATC